AGGGTGGCCGCAGGTAAGGCCGGGCCGCCCGCCCTCCCCGCCGCGCAGCCCGCCCGGGGCCTGGGTCGTCTCCCCCAGCCGGGCTGCGGAGGGGGCGCAGTGGCCTCCTCCCCGGAGGTCCCCTCGGCGCCCTCTCCGCCCTCCCCCCGTCTGTCTCCCCGGAGGTCATCCCGGCACTGGAGGGGGCTCCCCGCACCCCTCGGCTCCCGCTTCCACCGCCCGATCTTCCCCGCGCTGGAGGCCTTGCGGGGTGGCGGGCGCATCCGTCGCGATGCCGACTGCACCGAGGGGGAGGGACGCACGAGGCGGGAGGCCGGGTTGCGCCGGGCTCGGGCATCGCGCCACAGCCCCCCGGGGAGCACGGACGGGTGACCCACGGAGCAGCGCTTTGGCCTGAAAACGTCGCCTCATGCGGAGAGGTTTCTCACCCGGCTGCCGTTGGCTTTGGGGACGTGCGGTTTGGGCGCCCAGGAGGCCCGCCTGCCATTTCCTCTCCGGGAGCGATTTCCAAAATGGACCCGGGGCCGGCAGTTTTCTCCGGGGCAGACCCGGTGCCCACCCGGTCGTCTTTCTACCGCTCCCACTTCCCCACCTCCGGAAGGCCTGGGCCTACCTTTCTGCCACATTTTGGGATCCATAAAAGGACCCAGGCCAGAGACTTGTCGAGGGACAGGTGGGACGTGGGCAGCTAAGGGGGTTAAATAACCCAATATTTTCCATTCCTTCCCCCAACCCCAGAAAAGAGGGGTAGAGAGATGAAGGGGTGAATGCAACTTTGTGAAAGAAAAGCCCACAGGTAAAACAAAAGCCTGCGACACCGGGATGAATTATAAGAGTTTTGTGGAAACTGTGCTTGGTCGGAATCACCTGCAACTCCTTGGGAATTCGTATAGAAGAGAGGTCTCTTGCCCATTAGGGGTATTTGTGTCCAGAAATCCTCGTGTTCTACATTTTAAAAATAGTAATAATTCATTAGAGATCACGTGTGGTTCCCAGGTTGGTTGCCTGTACCCTTGATGTGGTCAAAATCGCAGTGGCTGGCAATAGGACCTGGGGCCCACACCATCTCCCTCACCTGTGGGGGGAAATAGAGGATCCAAAGTCTTTTCCATCCTTCCCCTTCCAGGGAGCCAGGGATTTATGTCAGAAGTACACGTACTGGATCACTAATTAATTTCAGGATGCGTTATCCAGACCCCAGAGGTACCCTTGGGAAGAGTTTTGGGAGGTCTGCATGTGCTGTGTGGAAGGGCTGGCGTAGCCATTTTCTAGAACGTTCAGGCCCTGCCTGCTGTGTTGCTGGAGAAGGTGTGGGCTCCAAGTTGAAGTCCTGGGGGCCTGGTGGGTGCTTCTTCCATGGGCTGAGGTTTAGGGGCAATTGCCTCTTCTGTTTTTGCTTTGGTCCCTTTAGCTCTGGGTCACTTGGAGGGGGTGAAGTCCCCCAAACCCCTGCCTTGGCTTTTCCATCCTCCAAGGCCTTGTCGCCCCCAAGCCTCCCCCAAGCCTCCCCAACCTGAAAGAATGCATTTGATGGGTAGAGCCATAGGCTCAGGGTTTGGTTCCTTCCTCCACACTTAGCAAAGCCTTCATGGCCCATTCCAGCCCCGGATGTCCTGGACACCTCAGAGAGTGCTGAGGAAGTGGCAGCATCACCCAGGGCCTGTGAGACACCTTTTAAAAACTAGCCTGAGCAAAAATGCCCTTGGAGCCTCCTTGTGGCCCCACAGGCTGGGGGGCTTCCGCGAGCTGGGCCATGTCTAAGGCGACAGCGTCTGCAGCAGACCTGGTGCCTCCCCGCCCCCACCCTCCCTGCTCCCAGCCCCAGCGGCTGCCCTCCTGATTCTGTCCCCCTGGCAACGGATCTGCGTTGGGCTTGGGCTGACATGCGCCTGTCTCACTGCAGATGCTGTTTGGCCATTAGCATGCAGCCGAATGTCCCTGCCACCTGCCAGCCTGGCTCAGCCCACGCTCTCCACAGGGGTGGGGGGGAGCAGAGGAGGGGAGGGGGTACCAGGAGCCAGAGGGGGAAGGGAGGGGTTGGCCTCTCATCCGCTCTCCTCTTCCTGCGCAGCTTGGCCAAATGCTGCCTCCCAGCCGAAGGGAACTCGCCAGAGTAGCACAGACTTGCAGGGTGGCCCCAGGCAGCAGCAGTGGCCCATGGAGGCCTCAAGTCCCTCCACTACCGCGCCTGGGATTCTCTCTTTGGGGTTAAGACACGGCAGGTCCCTTTTCCAATGCCAGCATTTCCTCGAAGTGACCTTGGTTCTTGACTCAAATGACTTTATAACCCCAAAAATGGTTATGAATGGTCTTGAGGGAAAGAGGTTCAGAACAGTGAATGAGTGACATGGGCCAGAGGAGACGCAGTGGACCCCTCAGTGGGAGGGACGGGTGATGTTGCTTTGAAGTGAGCGGGACACGCTGAGAACAAGCTCACCTCCAGGTCTTGCTGTGAGTCCCACAGGCCTCCTGTGAGGTCAGGTCCTGCTTTTCTGGGCCATCCCAGCACATGTAGGAATGGGGCACACGGAAGAAACTCATCAAGACCACCTGGGTGAACACTCCCCTGAGCCAGTCTCTCTGCTGCACACTGCTCTCCAGGTGCCATTGGGTGGCAGCAGTACCGAACACCTACTGTGTGCCAAACAGTGTGCTGAGGACAGGAGAGATGCCTGTCCTCCAGGAAGTTCAAAGTACAGTGGAGGAGAAAAAGAAACCTTCCTTCCCCCATGGAGTTGTGAAAACTGTGGGCTCAGGCTGTTGGGAAAGCACTGAGGGGACCAGAGGTAACAAGGAAGAGGTTCTATCTATGGGCAAGTCGGTGGAAAAGGCCATCCTAGCGTGTGCAAAGGCCCTGAGGCCAGGAAGGCAGAGCACGTGCGGGAACTAAAAGCATTAAATGGTTGGCTTCAGCATGGGTGCTCCAAGATGTAAATCTGGACTCCACCCTGAGGCTAGTCCATGATCAGAGGTACCATGCAGAAAGTTCACTGATGGGGGTGCCTGAGTGTCAGGCAGCACCAGGGATGGGGGGAGGATGAAGCAGAACTCCTGATATGGCTGACTGTCAGCCTGAAGCCATGTTAGTGGTGATGGAGTGGAGGAGAATGTGCTCAGAAGGGAGGAATTAGAATGGCAAAGGCTTGAGGATGGATCGATTCTTGGGATAGCTGCATCCTCTAACCCAGACAGAGAGGTAAAGTGAGGAGAAATCCAGAGGGGTTAGACCAGTGCCGCTCAGTAGAACTTTGGGCAGTGACAGAATGTTCTCTGTGTGCTCTGTCCAGAAGAATAGCCACTAGCCGTGTGTGGCTGTTAAGCACTTGAAATGTGGCTAGGGCAATTGACTGAATTTTTCATTTAAATTAAAGTTAAGCAGCCGGGCTCAGTGGCTCAGCCTGTAATCCCACGCTTTGGGAGCCTGAGGTGAGTGGATTGCCTGAGCCCGTGGGTTCGAGACCCGCCTGGGCAACTTGGCGAGACCTCGTCTCTACAGTAAATCAAAAAATCAGCCGGGCGTGGAAGCGCGCGCCTGTAGTTCCGGCTACTCAGAAGGCTGAGGCGGAAGGATCGCCGGAGCCCAGCAGGTCGAGGCTGCGGTGGCCGGGAACAGCCACTGCACTCCAGTCTGGGCGACAGAGTGAGACTCCAACTCAAAAAAAAAAAAAAAAATTAAAGTTAAGGAATTACATCTGATTAAACTAAACTTCATGTGGTTGGTAACTGCCCTATTGCTCACTGTAGGGCCTTGGGCTCAGGAGTTGGTCTATGTCACTGGGCTCCATCAGCATGTAGGAGGCATTTGAGGCCACAGGAGGGGTGAGTGTGGTCGGGAAGGTGGGTGGTGTGTGGAAGGAGCAGAAGGGGCTCAAAGCCCCTCACCCTTCTCTGCAGATGCCGCTGCACCCTACTGGGTGCTCCTCCCCATGCCTGGTCACTCTCTGACATTATCCCCTGTAGAAATCTCACCTGAAGAAAGAACCAATTCACAGGAAAAACATTCCACGCTCAGATGGGCAGTAGTCACGCCAGAGCGGAGGGTTGTATGAATTAAGATGTATCTACTCGAGGGATTATTATACAAACACTGAAATTGGTATTAGTGAAAACAACAGACTTGCTTTGGATATGTTTTCATGTGAATAGAGAATAATTCAAAATTATGTGTAGAATGTGATTATGACGACATGAGAAACTTCTATGTGTGGAAAAGACACAGGTGGAAATGGTTGGAGAGCAGTCGTTGTCTTTGGGAAGAAGGATAACGGGACGGTGCTAATATTCTGCGTGCATGTGTATTGCTTTGATGATGGAAATAAACCTCGTTTTAAACATCTTACTTTGTTTATATGATGAAATATGATGCAGCGATCTAAAATAACTGAAGAATAATGATTCAGGAAAACTCCCATGATACAGAAGTGGAAACAAGTGACATATATAATCTCAGATAAAAAAAAAAAAAAAAAATATGGCCAAGTGCAGTGGCTCACCCTTGTAGTCCCAACTACTCGGGAGGCTGAGGCGAAAGGATCACTTGATGCCAGGAGTTCAAGAGCAGCCCAGACATAGTGAGACCCTGTGTCTTAAAAATAAACACACACACACACACACACACACACACACACACACACACACAGAGAGAGAGAGAGAAGGAAATGACCAAATAAGGTCATAATGGCTGTTATTGATTATTTTAATTTTTTTTTTGAGTCAGAGTCTCACTCTGTCTTCCATCTGGAGTGCAGTGGGACAATCATGCTCACCTCAACCTTGCCTTCCTGAGCTAAGGTGATCCTTCTGACTCTGCCTCCCAAGTAGCTGGGACTTGGGTGTGTGCCACTATGCCCAGTCAATTTTTTAATTGTTTGTAGAGATGAGGTCTTGCTATGTTGCCCAGGATGGTCTTGAACTCCTGAGCTTAAGCATTTCTCCTGCCTCAGCCTCCCAAAGTGCTGGGATTACAGGCATGGGCCACTGTGCCTGGCCTATTTTAATTTTTTTTTTTTTGAGTTGGAGTCTCACTCTGTTGCCCAGACTGGAGTGCA